TTAATAATTCTAGTCTAATTAAATTTACTTTTATTAAAAAAATTTATAATAAATAGATAAATAGGTAATTTGTATTAGAGTTTTATAGAAACTCCTTCAAAATCTCTTTTTATAACAATTAATAAATAATTTTTTATATTAACAATACTTGTCTAATTAGATTTTCTTTTATTAAAAAACTCATAATAAATAGACAAATAGGTAATTTGTGTTAGAGTTTTACAGAAACTCTTTAAATATATCTTTGTCTAGTGTGATGTAGTTTTACTGAAAATAAAATAGGTAATTTGTGATTGGGTTTTATTGAAATTATTTTATTTTCTTTAAATATATCATTGTCTAATAAGATTTAATTTTACTAAAAAACTCATCATAAAAGCTAATTTATGGTAGAGTTTTAGAAAAATTATTTTGTTTTATATATCATTTAATAAATATTTTTATATTCATAATTCTTGTCTAATTAGATTTTCTTTTATTAAAAAATTCATAATAATAAATAGATAAATAGGTTAATTTATGGACCATTTGGTTAAGCACAATTGATTATAGATTGAATTTTAATTTTATTAGGTAATTTTGAGTTTTATAGAATTTATATCGTGGGATATAATAATTAATGAGAACTTTTTATTGTGAATTAAACTCTTTTTATATTTTGTTAATTTGAATTTTATTAGGTAATTTTGAGTTTTATAGAATTTATAAATAAATACTGAAACTCTTTGCACAAAGGCCACGAGAAAGTAATACTACACTTGATCTTAGCCAAAAGACCAAGAAAGGTTAGCCAAAAGGCCAACCAAAAAATATTTAGTACTACACTTGATCTTAGCCAAAAGGCCGAGAAGGTGTGATTATTATTTCTTTAGCTCTATAGTTTTATAAGAGGCTTTTATGTAATCCTTTTTATTTAAAACCAATGTGGGACTTTGTAATTTGAATTAAACTCTTTTTATATTTTGTTAATTTGAATTAATTTTAATTTTATTAGGTAATTTTGAGCGTTATAGAATTTATATCAATTAATAAATAAATACTGAAATACTGAAACACTTTGCACATTTAATATTTAATAATAATAGTATAGATATATATATTTGAATATTTCTTAATTAATAATACCATGTTTTCTGATTATCGTGAAGATTACCTTCTTAAAACATAACGAAATAACTGCCAACTCCCTTTCTCGTCATGAAATACATTTTTCAAAATAGCCGCCTTTTGGAACTGCTCGTTACTAACAAATTTACAAACAAAAAAACGATTTTGAAGTAGTCAAATATTGAAACCTTGATTACACCGTAACTAATTCAAAAAAAAATACTGTTTTAACTTTACTGCATTGAATTTATAAAAACTTAACCATCATCACATTTGTGTAGACCTACATACTACCAGTAAAATTGGTAATTCATTCGCTATCAATATAATTTTAAAGCATGTTCCTTATGCATCATCACTAGGTTTGAGTCACATAGCTAGCACTCTGAAATCACTTTAAAATCCCAACACCACCACCAACCATTCTTAACTATCCAGAAAAAATTGGAAGTAAAATTTTTTTTAGGCTATGCTAAATAATAATACAATTTTCATAATCAACAAAAATAGTCTCGGTTCTCACCAAGTTGAAAAGGGGCATGGCTCTCTAGCAATAAGTCGCAAATTCTTCCTTAAAATCTTTATTTTAGAGCACTCCTTCAAATATTACATTACATCTCTTAATAAATTTCTCTATTATTATTAAGTTGAACAATTTCTATTTTTTCTTTTTAATATCTCTTAACTAATGTCGTTTTTCTGTTTATTCCGCAGGATGAAACACATTTTTAACTATGGCTTTCACCATTTGTAATGGGTGGTTACTATTAGATTTTTGCCAAGAGAATGATCTGCAACAAAGAATGGAAACATTACTATCTTCTCCTCCGACAAACAAACAAAAACATCTGGAAGGAGTCAAATATAGAGTGTGTTTCTTATCATTATAAGACAAGAAAATAGACAATTTCTTTCTTGTCCTCGCTAAATGAGAATGACCATAACATGGGGAAGTATCAATGCCAAAATATCAAGAAGTTCAAATTATTTTAAACCATTATAAAGACGAGAATAAAGGCATACTCCTAATGTGCCTCAGAAATCACAGTTTCATTACTGCAAAAAATAAAAATAAACATCCTATGAAACATAAAGCAAACCCAAAACTTATTGTTTCTCTGCTAATTCCCGATATCGATCTCCATCATTCAAGCAAAGCTAGGTATAGAGCCTGGTGTGTGCTTGCCAATTGATGCCATGTATCCTAAATTGTTATCTCTGTTTGGACATGGTAAAAAAAAAAATCTTCACATTGTAAAAATAGAAAATGAGAGAGAGGGAAAAAGAAAACATCATACAAGAAATTTAAAATTAAACTTAAAAATGCCTTTATGTAGGAAGGGAATAAGATATAAACTTTGTGAAGATGTATGCATTTAGTTACTTACTTACAATATAAACACATACAAACACACATAGCTATACACACATATGTAATTCAATCATGTTTCTATTTACCATTGCATGCCTTCATTATCTTCACTAATCCCTCAAATTAACTACAATGCTTTAGCTACATATAGATAAGTTGACAGTCTGAGGTTGACACTCATTATTACAAATAATGGTAACTGTCATTTTAATTACACTAAATTTTGAACTAATTAACACGTACAACAATAACATATTGATTACTTCAATTTTTTCTCTACCAAAAGATAAGCTATATGTATTTCTTTTGATAACTAGCTAATATAGAACACAACAATCATAACACAAGAATTAACTTAGAAATGGTATAGAAGTTAGAAAATAGAGATGATTTGATTTACCTCCTTAATTTCTTTTTCCTCTTTCCTTTTACTTGAGGTGTACTAATGGGCAAAACCAAACTATCCACGTATAAAACCATTGTTTTTTTAGCCCAATACTCCTGCACTTGTTTTCTTTAGGATTATAGATGACCAAACTATCAAGATTTATCATCATCACAACTTCACCTATCTTAGTAGCACACAACAACGTTAAGTAATCTCTAAGTGTCTCATTGTTTCAACCCAATGTGGGATGACAATGAACTTGGTCCAAGAATTGTTCTCACCATATTGCTTCATAGTCCACACCACAACATGTTTATTATCAATGGAATTACAAAATAAACTAAGGCATCCTCTCATAACCGTCAAACTAAATATATCACCTTTCTTTTATACATTTGGTGGTGGCATCTCCTTGAACCTCTCATCCACCATATCATAGGAAACAATCACACATGTTTTAGTGAAATCATACGCATATTCGAATATATGGGTGTTTGAATTGTATAAAGAGGAACGAGAATAGGGCGGTAGAGTATAGGGTGTTCTGACTATATCTATTCTAAAATCTTGGGATGGATGAATAAAAGCTGGGTAATTACCATTGTCATCACCATCTGATAAACTCGAACTAGAAGAATCAGAAGAGAGGTATCGCCTCACCTTGGCGTTTCTTAGTAGTGTCAAAGCAATCCAGTGTAACACACCATTCGCAGTGATCGTAGCACCGCGAAATCCCAAGTAAGGGAATTTCCTAGGCTTGGTCTAACATTGAGCTTTGAAACTAAAAACCACAACTAAAAAAAAAAAAATTCATTTGGTCGAAAAAAATTAGCTTTAGAAATAAATACCACCTTGTAATTGTTGATGCAAAAATCTGCACGGGTCGAAGTCGAAGATGTTTCCTGCAAGAAAAATAGAAGTGACGACCGATGTTGTGCCAGTTAGGTGCACTATGACGGTCAAGTTAGTTCTTGACAATTGAATATCCGATAAAGGATTAAATATGGAATTTATCGCGTACCTTTTTAGGTTAACTAGTGACTTCTTTTATAGAAGTATTAACGGTAGTAGTTTTCTATCATGAAACAACTTTACTTTCCTTATCCATTACAGATTTAAGAGTCATTGGAGAGGGTAATAATTGTTATTTCTATCTCCTTAAGTTTATACATGCCCTTTGAGTTTCCATGTCATTTGGAATTTTTATCTAGTCGGATATTCTATATCAGTATCCCCCCATTCTCAAAATCTTGCTTGTCAAACGTCAGGCATGCCAAGTCCTTCTAAGTTATGCATGCTTGATGATTACTTTCTTGCCCTTTTTAATAAGGGAAATAGATTTGCTCGAGCATTGTGAGCTCACCCTTTAATAAGGGAGTAGTTAACCTCTCATCTCTTTATCGAGGGAAGAAGATGAAGTTGACCCTTCGTTCCTTTATGGGGAAAAGAGGTATAGTCTGAAGGAAGGTGACCCTTTTAATACGAGAGATAGTCGTCTCGTCTCTTTAGTAAATGAATGAAGCTTTAATTATCTCACCCTTCTGTGTAGAGGGAGTAGCCGGATTCTTGTCCCTTTAATGAGGGAAGAATGTGTTGTTGGCCTTTGGTCCCTTTAATGAGAAAATTTTTAATAAGGTGCAGTCGGCCTCTCATCCCTTTAATAAGGGAAGTCGATTAATATGAGTTTCACTCAGTTCGTCTCTTTAACAAGGGAAGTAGATTACTATAAACTTCACCCAGCTCACCCTTTAACAAGGGAAGTAGATTAATATGATCTTCACTCAGCTCACCCTTTAACAAGGGAAGTAGAGTACTATATACACTACAAGAAAATGGGTCTTTAGTGACAGTCAAATCCGTCACTAAAAACCCTAAAATCGTCACTAAAAATCGAAATCGTCCGTCACTAGCTACGACGTCGTAAAAGATCTTTAGTGACGGTAAAAAAGACTGTCACCAAAAAAATGGTCTTTAGTGACAGTAGTTACTGTCCCAAATAACCCGTCACTAAGAGTTATTAGGGACGAAATGTACCGTCACTAATAAGTTATATATAAGGGACAATTTTTGAACTGTCACTAATACCTACACTATTCGTGACAGTATTTACCGTCCCTAATAACTTTAGTTTTTTTTTATTTTTTTATCACATTTGTGATAGCTAGAAACCGTCCCTGTTACATTTTTTTTTGTTTTTATTTTTGGGCCCTTGCTATATTTGTATGTTTATATTTTTTTCTTCTCAAATTCTTTATAAGAAAAACTCTTAATATGAAAATTCAAAGCATTTATATATATGACTGGAAATAACCACATACTAACCCACAAAATATTATACCACATGCAGCATAGATAAATTGATATCAAAAGCATATGATATGTAGAATATAAAAATAAACTTTAAACCTCTTCCAACATATTAAAAAATCAGAGCATCATTTTAAACTAAATGCAAAGACATCCAATTGTACATTATTTTCATCAACAATTTCTGCTCTTTTACTAAAAGCCTCTTTATAAGATGAGGATGCACATTGATGGCTTGGAATCACGAAACCATGTCCAAATCCACAGGAATATCCTTTCCTGATACCTAGTTGGTTTTGCACTATCTCAACATCATTTCTCACTGGACTGGTACTATCAAAATTTTGAGAAATCTGGGAAGACTTATCCATCATTTCATCCTGCAATTGACATATAAGTCTTAGAATTGAGAATTGAGATAAAATTAAGGAGAAAAAGACTTGTACCAAAAAAATAGTAAAGGCTAAACTGATCACATCAAGGATTATCATACCCACCACAACTTAATGTTCTTATTACAATTTTCATTGAAGGAGAGAGAGACAATAAACAAAAATCTTGTAACTAATCATTCAAAATATAACAAGTTCAATAAATTCATAGTTTCCAGCAACATAACAACACTACATGTCATCAATCTATAGACATGATACACAAGTAATCAAAGTTCACTGAATAGCAGAGAAAACGCATTGGCACATATTAGTATACCTATTTAGATGCTGATACAATCACATTTCTTAATATAAATCAATCTTACCACTCTAGCACTTTCATCCAAACACATATTATGTAATATTACTATATTAAAACATCGATGTATCAAATTCTAGATTACAAATTCTATGATTCATCATTAAGTAAATTCTAAGTGATATAGAATTGATTATTTCACCTATCAAAATGTTAATTAAGCAATCCACCAACTCAACATAATGTTGGCATCAACAACTAATTTAATAAGCTTCATCATTTCAAACAATAAATAGTCCCAACTAGTGTAAAAAAAATATATATTTGAAAAGATCTAATCACCACAAGAATGCTAATATAATGAGTCAATCACTTCCAAGTTATACTCCAATCAAATAATGCTAATCTCACCATATGATGTTTTTTTTTTCTTTTTCATAAGAACTTAAATTATCAATTCTCACTTTATCACCATCAATCAAAACTCACTTTTTTTTTTTTTTTCTTCTTTTCCAAGTCCCACCATTACAATAATATATCCCTTTATCATAATAGAAATACACCCAACATCAGTAATCATGGTGGGCATTACTTTCTTATATTTGGTATGCATTACTCCTAAAAGAAATATCTTTAGGCATTTATTTCATTTATTGAGAATTGAGAAGTCATTGTTAAAAAGAAAAAAGAAAAAGAAAAAAAAGCAAAAGAAGAAAGTTGAGAGCCCATGTTCAGCTGACTAACCAAAGAAAGCAATCAAATCCCATACTTGAATTGCAACCTCAAAGCCTAATATGACCAGACATTAGTATCAGTCCATTATGTACAATGTTTATTTCTTTAGAGCTCCATCAAAACTTACCATGCGCACACTGAAATTTCAGTGTTAGTTAAACGTGAAATTCAGCAGAGTTAGTTATAAGCTTACTCAAATTTGACCTGGTTACAAGCTCAACTTAGTCTTAACTAGCAATTCTCAATATTGGTTTGTGCAACTGTATTCAAGCTTCAGTTTCTTTGTCTAACCAAAATTTGATTATGAGAAATGATAAATTCGGATTCCTAATCTAGTGCTTCAACACACAAACACCTGTTGCAAAAATTAGCAGAAAAAGAGATAAGAATACAAACAAGAACACACGTCTTTAAGTAATTCAGCCAAAACACGGATTACGTCTACGGAGTCAGGCATTTCACTATGATGAAGCGCAAAATGAAATTACAGAGTTCATAATAAATAACCACTCCCCCAGTATACTCCTATAGAATTATGGCTACATAACAAGTGTGAAAAATACAATAATATCCCCCAAAAAATTCAAGTCAGCACATAAAGTTGGGCTAAGGTGTACAATACTCCACACTTTCTGTCAAAGCAAACACACACACACACAAAACAGCCTTATTTTGAAACATAAAATGTGGCTGAAAAAAAGAGCATTTATCGAAGATTAAACACACACACAAGGCAAAGGTGTCATATACAAAAAAAGTTTCTCTTGGATGTGTTGCAGCTGAAAGAAATTAAAGCTTGTATAAATTAATTAATTAAACAACTTAAACAGTGGTGGTTTGGAGACGAAATTGTTTCTTAACTAGCTTACTTTCTTTCCTTTTTTTCGTTCCTTCCAACCACTGTATAGACATAACAGGACGACTAAAATAAAAACATGAAGAACAGAGACTTACATGACAAATCAGTTGGGTGAGCATTGAAACAAGTTCATCGCTGGATGTCGATCCGCAGGCAAATCAGATAGGCATACGACAACAATTCTCACTGCCATCAGCATCTCATCTTCTTCTACTTCTTCCCTAAAGATACTTCTATCAAATGCTTCTCGGGCCTCCCCTTCTTGTTGCAGATGCCGAAGCCACCGTCCCAAACTTCCCCCAGTGACTGCTCCCTCAAAGAATGGATCCATTGGGTCTCTACCTGTTAACAAAACACCCAATATAACACGAAGCTGTCACTCTTATCAGTATACCTATTGTGATCAAACAAATAATCAATTACAATAAGACCATCAACAAAAACATTTTAAGTTTAGAAGTTACATTATTAAAGATACAAAGATAAACATCGGTATATGCCACATTATTAAAGAAACAAATTAAGATACGCATGGTATACACAATTACAAGCTAATGCTTACAATTTACAACCCCTTCCAAATAACTGCTTCTCATTAATTTACACAAGTAAAATCAGTATAAACAAAATTTGGAGAAAACATAATTGTCTTTCTGGCAAGCTTCAATTAACAAGAAGTAAATTTCACATCTATTAGTGATACGCACACATGAATCTTCATATTCAATTTCAATTGATTGCTAATCAGCCATCAAGCGAAAACCAAATATTCTGAATGAAGCACCTATAAAAAACCAAATATTTTGACAAAGTACATTGATCAAACAATCAGCAAGTCCTTTATTTAATTGATTAAAATTAGTTTCATTGGCATATATGTCCACTTCAAAGGTCACCTTTATAATGGATAATTAATGTAAGTTAAAGGAGCATATATAATGTTAAATATATACTTTTGTCCCTTTACTGGAGATAGGGAATTCATGGCAATGTACTAAAGCAATGACATTCTTACTATAGTTCATTAAAAGGAGGAAATCATACTCTAGAAACATGAACAATACGAAAGGACTAGGTATGACCTTGAATATCAATGTTACAAAAATTAAAGACTCACTGATTTTCAAAATGAATTGTATTCAATGGTTAGGAAATGCCAAGAAATTTCTAGAAGAATACTAAAACCATGTAAAAAGACTCACCGATTTTCATATAAATATATGACCAGTAGACTTTAAATGAGAAACTTAGCAGTTTAAAATATGAATCTACAATTTTCAACCAAGAAAACAATTCGATTAGTACAATTTCTAATTTAATTACCACTTCATCACAAATTAAAAGATTAAGTTCGCAATAAACAAGATACAATTCGGTAAAATTGAAAGCAAACAAATTATTACTAGAAAAACAAATATGAATGATGCACATCGATCTCAAAAACTTGAAGGTCAATTCATCCTCAACAGCCCCAAAACAAAAACCCACCAACACAAGATGCATTGCATTAACATACAATTTTTGGCTAAGCCTCACAGACTAGTCACAGTATCTATTATCAAGTCTCAAATTGCGACAAAGTTGATAATCTGCTGGGATTAAGTGCAATAGAACTAATCTCACCTATGAGTTTAGGAACAAAATTAAAAATTTCCTAAAACTCACTTATTATAACAACATACGATGAAGCCAAATTTGTAATCCATCTAACAAATATAGCGAGTTTAAAAAGAGAGTAAATAAAGTGTTGATAACAAAAAATAAAAATAAAAAATGACATGACAGAGACTTGAAGATATTAAAACACATAAAAATAAAAATGACAGGACAGCAAAAATAAAAAATAAAAACTAAAGGAAATAAAGAGGGAGAAACGAACAGTATTGTAGAGAAAAGAAATAAAAACAAAATAAAAAACAAGAAGAATGAAAAGGAGAGAACAGAGTTCAGAGAAGAAACGAACAGATGGGGGAGATGGAAGTCCTTGACTTCCCTAAATGATTCAGATGATAAGAACCTGATTCTGTAATTTCTCACTTCAATTGCCAAGCCTTTAGGCAATTTTGAAACCCAGAAAACATGTAATCATATTTTACATCAAAATTAACAACCGAAAGATAAAAAGATTAAAAAAAAATAAAACATAGGAAAGAATATTTGATGGATGAGATCCAAGAGTCAACCCAAAATGAGATTGAAGAAGGATCCAATTAGTACCATGAAGATGTCGAACCCAATCGAACGTGCGTTCTCTGAAACAAAGCCCTAGCAATTGAAAATTCTTTAAAGTGGTTTATACAATTTTTATATCAAACAACGTAGTTTAAACACACCTTTAATGTTTTGCAAAAAAGTATCCATGGTCCTGACACCGCCACGTGTATCTCAAGCCAAACAACGCAAAATACAAAATCCTAGGGCTAAATTTTGCCGCTGAAAATTTCGGTGGCCAAATTTTTAGGGGTTTGGTGACGGTATTAGACATACCATCCCTAATGGCTAAGTGTTACAAGGTTGGGACCTTGACAAGCCCTCTGACAGTCATGGATGCTGTCAGCATGCACGGGGGCTGCCCAGTAGTATTTTCGTAAATATAGCAAAAAAGTGAAGCTTAGAATTTTGGCTCGGAATGTTTATGGGAGGTACCTTGAGTCCATAGAAGATGGTTGGCGCAGACAGCACTCCATTCGGATGTCGTGCACTTTGAGACATTTATATGTGGGTGCAGATTAGTGGGCTTGGCATGGGCTAGGTTCACAAGGTTAGCTTAGATGTTGCTTAAAGCATGGACCACACAAGTCATGGACGTGTGGCATAGTCAAGTCAGGGACATGGGCACAAAGCAGTGGGCGTAGGCAAGGCTCAGCGTGCAAGGTTGGCTCAGGGGACTCAGACATGGCTTATGATTACAGAAGATGGCTAACTGGGCTCAGGTGGTTGGGGGAAGTTACACTTCCCACTAAGTGGGCTCAGTTGATTGGAGGAAGTTACTAATACTTCCCACTAGTGTGCTGAGTAACTTCCCAACTTCCTACTCATATGCATATGTTATGGGGAGTGGGGATGTGCTGAGTAACTTCCCATGCATGTGGCATAGATCTGAGGGGACAACACATAGGTGGTTGGAGTCAGTTTTCTTCCACTATGTTGATATATAGAAGGTGGCAGATAATGTGTAACTTCCTGTGGACAAGTGGCATGAACAAAGCGTGCCAACAAGCTAGTAGTTGGGCTTATCAACTACATATGTAGTGTTGGCACACTTAGTGGGTGCCAACATGACCCTAGGTGGATGGGGGTGTCATCCACCACTTTAGTGGGCAGTTATGTGCGGTTTTGAGAGTTTGCCTATATATTGCTAATGTGGGTTTTGTAGAGAGGGCAGATTGAGAGTGAGACACAGAGTTGTGTTATGAGAGACTCTTGTATGCTTCTGCAGGTTGAGACCTTTCCTTGTACTATTTTGTGAATAATATTAAAAGGTTGGAAGCTTTGTACTTCTGTAAATTTATGGGTGCTATTTTCTTTACATTCTTGTAACTATACTTGTGTGTGAGAGTGTTTTACTTGCTTTGTGTTCTAGGCAGTAAGTGTGAGTTGGCTGAGCTAAGTTAGAAATTCAGAAAAGTTATTCATATTTCTAGCTTAGTGCCATCATAGGGCACTAGATTCGTGTTCAGAATTTACCCCTATGACAATTGGTATTAGAGCCCAGAGGTTCATCATGGCTGGTGGTAATGCTACAGAAGCTCCCAAAGATTGTGTAACTTATTTGGAGGCCTTGGTGGGTACTCCATAATCTGATGATGCTGCTGCCTTGACAGAGCAGATCAAACTGTTTGCAGTTGAGTTGCAGACAATACGATCAATGCTTGAAGAGTTTATGGGGGAGACAAACTCGAAGATGCAGATTATGACGGATGATGTGATGTCCATGACAGACCTCTTCAAAGAACATGTGAAGGATTTGGAGGGCGAGGTGGCTTTGTTAAAGAGGGCCATGCACAATCAGACTGTTGTGGGTGAGAAGCCATCATCTTCCAAAATCAAAATTCCAGAACCAAAGTCATTCAGGGGCAAGAGGAGTGCCAAAGATCTAGAGAATTTCTTGTGGGATATGGGGCAATATTTTTTAGCAGCCCACATTCCAGATAATGACAAGGTAACTATTACCAGTATGTATTTGTCTGGTGATGCTAAATTGGGGTGGCGGACTTGGGTGGAGGACGAGTTACACCCCAAAATTACTGTATTTGCAGAGTTGAGGAAAGAACTGAAGTAGCAGTTTCTTCCAGCAAATTCTGCCTGGGTGGCTTGGGAGTCGTTGAGGAGACTCAAGCATACGGGTACAGTGCGTGAATATGTGAAAGAGTTCACATCTTTGATGTTGGATATCAAAGATATGTCCGAGGGGGACAAATTGTTTAATTTTATGGCAAGCTTGCAATCATGGGCACAAATTGAGTTAAGGAGGAGCAGAGTGATCGACCTCTCTTCTGCCATAGTTGCAGCAGATAGCTTGGTGGACTTGCAGATTGAAAAGTCTGACTCTACTATCGCTAGCAAACTGAAGAAGAAGAAGGGCAAGTTCGGTGACAAGCCCAAGAGGTATGGTATTGCTAAGGAAGAGAAAGACAAAAGTAAGTTAGAGGCGACGTTCATCCAGTAGAGGCCAAAGGTAGACTATGGTTGCTTCATTTGCAAAGGTCCACAAAGGGCGAGGGACTGTCCTAAGAAGGAGAAGGTGAATGCTATGGTTGCTGAAGAAGCCAATGGAAGAGATTTAGACTAGGATGAGGGTAATGTTCGGGTCAATCCTATTGTCATGCAGTCATGATATGTGCAGGTGAGCGCGTGGCTTCGGGAGAAGGCTATGCAGAGATGCTCACTGAGTTTATTGCCAAGGTTGGTAACGGTGAATTCCCTCTTTATTTGTTTTTCTGATTTAGGTTGCTGGTTGTGAGGACAAAATCCAAAGGTGTTCAGAATTCATGTCATGAATCGATACGGAGGTTGGGGTTTGTGGCATTATTCAAGTGCAGCAGTGGAGTTGTTGCAGTGTTAATATTTAGCATTCAGGTTGGTCGGGGCCAACATGCTAAGTTGCAGGCAGAGACTTGTGACACTTTGTGATTGTTTCAACGAGGACATTGAAATTCTTAAGTAGGGGAGGTTTGTTATGGGGTTCGGACCTTGACAAGCCCTTTAAAAGCCATGGGATGCTATCAGCGTGCACTGGGGGTACCCAGTGGCATTTTCATAAATATGGCGAAAAAGTGAAGCTTGGAATTTTGGATCGGGATCTTTATGGGAGTTACCTTGAGTCCATAGAAGATGGTTAGCGCACACGGCACTCGATTTGGATGTCGTGCACTTCGAGACATTTATTTGTGGGTGCAGATTAGTGGGCTTGGCATGGGCTAGGTTCATAAGGTTGGCTCAGATGTTGCTTAAAGCATGGACCACACAAGTCATGGACGTGTGACACAGTCAAGTCAGGGACATGGTCATAAAGCAGTGGGTGTAGGCAAGGCTCAGTGTGCAAGGTTGGCTCAGGGGACTCAGACATGGCTTATGGTTACTGAAGATGGCTAAGTGGGCTCAGGTGGTTGGGGGAAGTTACACTTCCCACTAAGTGGGCTTAGTTGGTTGGGGGAAGTTACACTTTCCACTAAGTGGGCTCAGTTGGTTGGGGGAAGTTACACTTTCCACTAAGCGGGCTCAGTTGGTTGGGGGAAGTTACTAATACTTTCCACTAGTGTGCTGAGTAACTTCCCAACTTCCCAATCATATGTATATATTATGGGGTGTGCTGAGTAACTTCCCATGCATGTGGCACAGATCTGAGGGGACAACACACAGGTGGTTAGAGTCGGTTTTCTTCCACTATGTTGATATATAAAAGGTGGCAGATAATGTGTAACTTCTTGTGAATAAGTGGCATGAGCAGAGCGTGCCAACAAGCTAGTAGTTGGGCTTGTTAACTACATATGTAGTGTTGACACAGTTAGTGGGTGCCAACATGACCCTACGTGGATGGGGGTGTCATCCACCACTTTAGTGGGCAGTTATGGGCGGTTTTGAGAGTTTGCCTATATATTGCTAATGTGGGTTCTGTAGAGAGGGTAGATTGAGAGTGAGACACAGAGTTGTGTTGTGAGAAACTCTTGTATGCTTCTACAGATTGAGGCCTTTCCTTGTACTATTTTGTGAATAATAGTAAAAGGTTGGAAGCCTTTTACTTCTGTAAATTTGTGGGTGTTATTGTTTTTACATTCTTACAACTATACTAATGTGTGAGAGTGTTTTACTTGCTGTGTGTTCTAGGCAGTAAGTGTGAGTTGGCTGAGCTAAGTTAGAAATTCAGAAAAGTTGTTCATATTTCTGGCTTAGTGCTATCATAGGGCATTAGATTCGTGTTCAGAATTTACCCCTATGACAATTGGTATCAGAGCCCAAAGTTGGGTTCGTCATGGCTGGTGGTAATTCTACAGAAGCTCTCAAAGATCGTGTGACTTGTTTGGAGGCCTTGGTAGGTGTTCCACAATCTGATGATGCTGCTGCCTTGACGGAGTAGATGAAACTGTTTGCAGTTGAGTTGTAGACAATATGATCAATGCTTGAAGAGTTTGTGAGGGAGACAAACTCGAAGATGCAGATTATGATGGATGATGCGATTTCCATGACAGACCTCTTCAAATAACATGTGAAGGATTTGGAGGGCGAGGTAGCTTTGTTGAAGAGGGCCATACACAATCAGACTGTTGTGGGTGAGAAGCTATCATCTTCCAAAATCAAAATTCCAGAACCAAAGTCATTCAGGGGCAAGAGGAGTGCCAAAGATCTGGAGAATTTCTTGTAGGATATGGAGCAATATTTTCGAGCAGCCCATATTCTAGATAATGACAAAGTAACTATTACCAGTATGTATTTGTCTAGTGATGCTAAATTGTGGTGGCGGACTCGGGTGGAGGACGAGTTACGCCCTAAAATTACTGCATTCGCAAAGCTGAGGAAAGAACTGAAGTAGCAGTTTCTTCCAGCAAATTCTGGCTGGGTGGCTCGGGAGTCGTTGAGGAGACTTAAGCATACGGGTACAGTGCGTGAATATATGAAAGAGTTCACATCTTTGATGTTGGATATCAAAGATATGTCCGAAGGGGACAAATTGTTTAATTTCATGGCAGGCTTGCAATCATGGGCACAAATCGAGTTAAAGAGGAGCGGAGTGATCAACCTATCTTGTGCTATAGTTGCAGCAGACAGCTTGGTGGACTTACAGA